ATTTACCACACTTTCTGTTTATATTATATGGATTAGAACTAAAACTTAAAAACGGTATAAACTGTGCTTAAAACATCAAAATCAAAACAAAATTATTTAACTTGAAATTATTAAAAACAATGTAGCATGACAGCATAACATAACCTCAATCAGAATTATCTATCTACGCATGGGGAAGCCAGGGAGCCAAAGTGAATTCGTTTCTCTAGACGCGAGTGTCCCTTGACAATTGGCACATCATTAAAAATGTATGATAGTATAATTACATATTGTGAAAATGTGGTATAATAAAAATGCATAAAAAATTTAAAGGGTAGTAACTGTAGATTATAGAACTAGAATATTAAACAAACTTAAAAATTTCTAGAAACACTCTTCTACACTTCTTCTCTAGGTCTTTTAACACTTTCGCTGCCGCTTTGTGACTAGTGCGCCGTCGCGAGGATCTAAACTAAGTTTTTTGCGCATAATTATGAAACTACATTAGAAAACACTTTCTTCAGTTTTATTGGGAGCCATCAATCGTTGAATTGACACACATCTGATTTATTAAAGTCACAGTTTTATTTAAACACACTTTTTAAAGAAACAATTATAATTGATTTTTAGAGTTTTGCAGTTTGATTGAAAACATCATAATGAATTAGAGACGACATATACACTAGGGTGTGTCATTTTAGAGCAACTTTTTTTTTAAACTAAAAAACAGGCTTAAAACTTTCAGGAAGGTGAAAAAAGAAGCCTCTAAAAATTTGAGCTCTTAATATTAACATTTAGTGGTGCCTGTTCCTAACTTTCCATTTTCCAACTAAATAACATGGAAATTTTTTTTTTTTTTCTTATTTTTGTAGCTTGAGATTTGAGCATTGTAAAAATAAAGTGAAAAATTATTTTGGTAAAAAATTGAACGCTCTACAAAAAATTCTAATTTATTTTTTTCATAGTGAGCCGTTCTGAAGATATTCAAACATAAAGTTGCAAATGTATGAAATTAGGACTTTTATTTTATTAAATATAATACTGATGACTTTTTTTATGTCTTAAAAATTATTTTTAATCGGAAAACTGGTTTTTGTGCGCTAATATTTTTAGAAAGGTAAAATAAAAAAAATACATCTTAGATATTATTTGATTATTTCAGTAACTGTTAAACAAAAGTAATTATGAATTAGGTTCGGTAAAATTATTATTTTACAGATTAAAAAAACTTTTTAACAATTAGCATACTAATTTTGAAACTAATAGATATTTTAATGTCTTATCAGAATTAAATGATGTAGGGGAGACCGGGGACAATTGTAACAATTTTTATATATGGCGACACCACTTTATGCATATTGGACATAATGCTCTAAGGTTTCGGCAATATATAAACCTAAGATTAGCCTTTGTCTTACCAGAGACTGGAATGCACTGGCGGTTTTATTTAGTAAATAAAAAAAATATTTTCATACCAATGTCACCTGTTACAATTGTACCACCCGTGGAGACAAATGTAACAGACTGCGAGACAATTGTAACATTATAAATAACATTAAAACATCAATAAAAAACAAAATATATTCGTTTTAATATAAAAACACAAATAAAACTAGAACAAACCCTCCTTAAAACTATAACATAATAAAATAAAACAAAGAGCAGTGTTGAATGATAAACTTATTCCCTACAATTAATACAAAAGAAAAAAAGCCACCATCATCGTCTCTGCATTCGGAATGAGCCCAGCCTTTACACTTTTTGCATTTCACCCATTCTTCTCCATGCTTATCGTTAGAGTATGCCTCTAGGCAATACAAACACAAGGCGTCGTCATCATCTGACGAGCTTGACTCAATGTCCTTTTTCTTTTTTGCAATCACCCTTTTTACTTTTTTCGCATTGTGCTTCTTTGCTTTTGCTGCCTCCTCTTCGAGTGCAATCTTCTCCGGAGTTTCTGTCAATATAGCTGATTTCCTTTTCCTTCTATTGTTGACATTTTTCTTGGCAGTCATAGGAGCCTTTGGAAAGGGTCGAATGTATTCTAACAATTCCTTGGAGGCATTTAATTCATCAGTTTGCCTAGAAGTTGATGGCTTCGAATCGTTATTTATTTGAACAGTTTCGGTTTCGGGCAACGTCATGTCTTGGTCGGGTTTTTTGGACGTAGATGGTATCGATACATCATCAGAAATAATATCTGGAGGTGTTCTGTTTCTGTTCGGCTCTGCTGCTAAATCATCAATATGATCCAATGGCTTGTCAGTTGGTAAAGACGGAGCAAACTCGTGATCCTGAAAGACATCCCGGTTGAAAGAATAGATTCCACTCACTTTGAATCCATTTATTACGTTGACTGGTGCAGTAGCTTTTGGTAGTGTTTCAGCAACAATTCCAGGTAAGTCATAAATAATCATAGTTTGACCGGGATTATTTTTCATCCAAGCGTCCATACCGCTGTTCAAATATGATTTTAGTGGCCCATAAACACTCCGATCTAAGGGCTGTAATTTATGAGACGTGTGGGGCGGGAACGACAGAAGAACTATGCCATGTTCTCGGCAGAAGTCAATTGTTTGTAAGCCCAAGTGAGATCTATGATTATCTAGTAAAAGCAAAATCTTATTTTCAAGTGAAGGTCTAGTATGTTTTGCAAAATGTTTTATAAAAGTGAAAAAAGTTTCTGTGTCCATCCAACCAGACCCATTAGCTTCTCCGATTGAACCAGCTGGGGCATTTGTCATGAAGTATGGCTTAAACCGCTTCCTGGGGAATATAAACAAAGGCGGGATAGCATTTCCTATGGCATTCACAGCTACACAGAGGGTAACTAATGTTCCTCTTTCCGCAGATGTAACGGCTCCTACCTGTTTGGTGCCCTTGGTAGTAACAATTTTATTAGGTTTTTGGACAGTAGCCTCAAACTGATCTCTTTCCATTACTCTAGCTAAATTGTCGAAAAATTGACCAACATTAAATCTGTTGAAATTCACAGCCCTAGCGTGACTTGTGGCTTCTGGTACTCTAATCGACAATGTAGGATTTCTATTCATAAAATTGGAAAACCAATCCCTTGACGCCATTTTTGTTAAGTGCCATTGTTCAGGAACATGGATATTTTTCCCCTTGCAAAATTCGTATGCAAGAGAACGAATATCAGAAGGTGTAAGACCGAAGTACATGTCAGCTGAATTGCGAATGTAATCACAAAATATTACCTCGTCTTCTGAGGGCAATATTTTATTATGAGAATTGTAACCAACTTTTGGCTTTTCATTACCACTTTTAACTTTTTTGATATATCTGCGTAGGGTAACATGACAAATTTCAAATCGTTTTGCAGCTTCCCTTTCGGAGACACCTTGGTCTATTGCGAATGAAGTTGCCTGTTGTAGATCAATACTGGAAGGACCCCTCTCAGTTTTTCTCATCCTCGAACGTAGCATTTTTCTGCAAAAAAAATTCAAACCTTAACAAAATTAATTTCATTAAATACCTTGCGGTGGGAGACAATTGTAACATGTTACAACCGTCCCCCAATTGAGTGTTACAAATGTCTCCAGCTACCATTTTATTGTTTAAAATTAATCTAGATAAACCTTCAACATCTATCATTATTTCTAATTTTCACAACTATTAGAGCCATGTTTAAATAAAACGTTGACGAAATTTCAACGTATTTTATACATATTTACTATGGTTTGTAATAAAATAATTAAAGTGCGAAAAAATTACTTACTGCTTAAAAAATACACTAACTGCACGTTAAGACGATTCTACCAGTACTGGCTCGCTGAAACTACAGCGACACGAACCTCTGACGCCAGCGAAGGTCATCAGATAGTGGCGCGATATTTAAAATGTATTTTTGTTTTGTTGTGGGCGCTGTTACAATTGTACCATGTTACAATTGTTCCCGGTCTCCCCTAACTATATTTGTTGATTTTTTTTATTACAATTTGGATATTTTCGTCGGTGCTCCTTTATCAATTTTAATAAATATTAAAATTGTTCCTCATCTTTAGTTAAGCATCTATTATAATCTTCTACTAATGCGACGCCACGTCCTGCAACGTCATTGATAACTTTCAATTTTTCGAAAAACTCCAAATTCTCTTAATAACTTTCATTATCTGGCCAAATTAGGACATCTGCATCTAGAAAGTCGTACGGCAAATCAAATTTGTCAAAAAGTTTCAATGATTGTTTTGACTCAAAGTCACTCCTATTTTTGTTTAAAATATTTCTGGTGAATTTTTGTCTTCTGTGCGTCTTTATTTTCTTTCTATATGAAAGTAATGATGTTTTCTAGAAAATAATTTTTAAGACAAAAAAGTCATCAGATTAATAAAATAAAAGTCCTAATTTCATACATTTGCAACTTTAAGTTTGAATATCTTCTTTTTTCACCTTCCTGAAAGTTTTTAGCCTGTTTTTTAGTTGAAAAAAAAAAAAGTTGCTTAAAAATGATACACCCTAATATACACTATTTTGCCATATTAAAAGTGGACGCAAATTGAGTTGTATTTTGATTAATTTGAAGGTAATAATTTTATATTTGAAGATTGACGGAATGAAAATGTTTTTATATCATTTATATAAAATGGCGTTTATTCTCACCAAAACTGATAAGCTTCGCTGTTGACCTCTTTTTTTTTTAACTACAGACATTTGCGGAAATAACTGGTCACTTTGGTCTTTAATCGGCATTGTAACCGATAGACAGCGCAGTGGCGTACCAAAAAATAGAGATTAACATGTACAAAAATAATAAATTTATTAAAATTTAATTTATATTTTTGTTATGTGATTTTATGAAATTTAACTGGGTGTTCACTACAAATGCTCCAATGGAGAAACCGCCTCTGGAGTTTATATCCATTCATTTCAAATTTCATTTGTTTAAGTAAAATGGTTTAAACTATACAGGGGGAGAAAACTGAGCTATCACTGTAGATGAAAGAATATAAAATCCGTAGTTAGTCATACAATTCCAAACAATATATTTTTTTAATTTGCAGATTTTCCTTCTTCCAAATCAAGATCGACTCATATTGATGGACATTTTGAGAAACGCTGCGTAGTTTGTCAGTTTTGTGGAAAATTATTGACAAAAATTGAATTTTTTCATCATTTTTTGATTCATGTAGTGAAAAATAGAACTAAAATTCAATTTGACGACAAACCTAAGAAATACAATTTTTCTTCCAACAAGTCGAAGCAAAAAATTATTAATAACGTACAGAAACCTTTAATATTTCACAATAGTGAAAAACTATTTAAGTGTGACATTTGTTCTAAAATATTTAAACACAAATGTAACTTACAAAGACATTTAATAATTCACAATAGTGAAAAACCATTCAAGTGTGACATTTGTTTGAAAGGATTCAATCGAAAATCTCACTTACAGAAACATTTAATAATACATAGTGGTGAAAAGCCATTTAAGTGTGATATTTGTTATAAAGGTTTTAATGATAAATTTACATTACAGAGACATTTAATAATCCATAGTGGTAAAAAACCATTCAAGTGTAACATTTGTCCCAAAGGATTTACTCAGAAATTTCACTTACAGCAACATTTATTAATTCACGGCAATGAAAAACCATTTAAGTGTGACATATGTTCTAAAGGATTTAATCATAAATGTACCTTACAGAAACATTTAATAATTCACAGTTGTATTAAAGATGCTAACGATAAATGTATCTTACAAAATCATTTAATAATTCACAGTTATGAGAAACAATTTAAGTGTGATATTTGTTCGAAAGAATTTACTCATAAATCTCACTTAGAGAATCATTTAATAATTCATAGTGATCAAAAACCATTCATGTGTGACATATGTTCCAAAGGTTTTAATGGTAAATCTAACTTACAGAAACATTTAATAATACACAGTGGTGAAAAACCATACAAGTGTAAAATTTGTACTAAACGATTTAATGATAGTTCTACCTTAAAGAGACATTTAATAATTCATAGTAGTGAAACACCTTTCAAGTGTGACATTTGCTCTAAAGGATTTAATGATAAATCTTCCTTAAAGAGACATTTAATAATTCACAGTGGTAAAAAACCATTCAAATGTGACATTTGTTCTAAAGAATTTACCCAGAAAACTCACTTACAGGAACATTTAATAATTCACAGCGGTGAAAAACCATTCAGATGTGACACTTGTTCTAAAACATTTAAACGAAAATCTCACTTGCAGAGACATTTAATAACTCATACTAGATATTCATATGAGTATAACATTTCTTCTAAATAATGTACGAGCACCGTCTCGGTGCAATTGGCACAACATTAAAAAGTTATGGTAGAATAATTACATATTGTGAAAATGTGGTGTAATAAAAATGCATAAATAATTTAAAGGGTAGTAACGATAGATTATAGAACTAGAATATAAAACAAATTTAAAAATTCCTAGAAACACTCCTCTACACTTCTTCTCTAGGTCTTTGACTTTATTTGTGTAGTACTTACAGAATGCAAAATTCCAAATAGTACAGTATATCTAACCTATAGAGCTGTAAAAGTAACGAGAAAATCAATACCCGTATGTATTCGTTACTTCGGATCTGACTACCCTTATAAAAATATTCGTTACTCGTTACTTTCGTTACTGTGATACGAATCTACAGAACACGCATCGTGTGGACCTCATACACGTCTATGCGGATGCGGAATTGGTGTCGGTAACTAATCGTACGTACGCATTGCTTCGGTTGTTAGGTTTTGGTACTGTCTAACAGAGGGTGCGGATGAAATTAGATATCGAATCGTTGGTTAAATAAATACATAGCGAATTTGGAATTTGTAATTAGTAACAAAGTCGTGTAGTTCACTGAGCATGAGCAATGAGAACTGATGTGAAGTTTTGCAAAATAAAATATCGTCAGACAGGTTGAACAGAAACATATATTTTTCTAACACACTAGTAGAAACAATAATAATACTCTATAAAATCATAACTTTAATAAACAAAAACATTATATTCTTGCAACACGCAACAGAAAAACAACTATTATACTATTCTTTAAAACTGAAATAAATAAATACATAAATATAAACAAAAGTACGTTTCGAGTCCCAGTCGACGTGCGGTTCGATAGTCGATTCGCATCAAGGCCACACTCTCATTTCGCATCGCCCATCGGGCCATCTCGCATCTTGCACACCGAACCGGTGGCGGTATGTATTCTCAAGTATTATTATTGTGCGTTATGCGACGATGCGGATGCGAGTAACGAAATTTAAAATGCAGTAACGAATTCGTATTTCGTATCTGACCGACTACTCGTTACTGAGTAACGAATACATACGGTTTGCCACAGCTCTACTAACCTAACACAAACAATTCTAGGAATTAGAAACAATATAAAATAAATTAAAAAATATATATGAAATATTAAAAAAAAAAGGAAGAATAACACAATACAGCGGGAATATTACAATATATCACAGTCCGAGTAAAATTTGTCATAGTTCTTGTATAAACGATCAATAAATGCACTTTGTTCATAATTTTTTCTGTGGCTTTTTACATTCAAAAGTGATGTGTACCGAGTCCGTCGGGCAGGAACCAATAGTTGAACTCTCTCAAGCAGTGACCCGCAGTGTTGTTCCTAGGGATTTTTGAATTGTACAACTTTTAATGTCAAAATTGTACACTATTACGTTCGATTGTACAACCACTAATTAATCTTTTTTATTAATAGCAGGCCTACTACTTCCCGATGCTTAAAATTCTTCTTTTTTTCCCTTTTTAAAAAATGTTTTCGATGTAAAACGGTGTACTGATTGGTCGCGAATGGCGCCAAATTTAAACATTATTGTTTTATTAATTTTAATGCATACTATTTAACGAATCGTAGACTTTTTGAGCAAAAGAAAGCCTATTATATACCAGATTTCACATAAATATTTAGCAACTTTAAATTGTACAACATTTCTACCTTCCTTCAAAAGTGCTTACAGCAGTACAACCACATAACTGATTGTACAACTTTTTGTACAATTGTACAACCAGGAACAACACTGGTGACCCGCACTTAATAGAACCACCTATTAATTTAGCCAGGAATATGAGTAAAGTCTGTTTTCTTCTGTATTCCAGGCTCTGCATGCCGCAAAGCCTTAATCTTATTTGATAACATGTGTTATGGTTATGAAATCGGTGTTTAAAGAGCAGGTAGTTTAAGAATTTACGTTGCACCCATTTCAATTCTATTGATATGACAGGTTAAGTAGGTTGCCAAATAACAGAACAGTATTCCAGGTCACTTCTCACCAGGGGCCCTATTCTCCAACTTGAATGATGTGAACATTCCACTGTGGGATGTGAAGTGTCCTATCACCAATTTGTTCTCTCGGTCATCGTATTCGGTATTCTTGAATCATTCACATCTCATAGGTTCACGGAGCACCGCTGCCAAATTTAAGTTGTGCGTTAGAACTATTTTAGAAGGCACTTTACTTCAATTTTTTTAATATTTTTTGACAATTGTAATAGATTATATTTTCCATTATTTTCTATTAAATCCCGTGCTAAAGGTTTACTTAGACGAACATTTTTTATGAATATTCGGTCACTAAAGTCAAAAGGATCCTCTTTTCTTAAAAACCATTCTATTTGGTCGATTGGCATCTTCTTCCGCTTCAGTTAGATCATTCAAAATATGAATATAAATAAGAGCTTCGTCCAAATCCATTTTAATTAAAAAAAGTGACGTTTTGATAGCGCACGACAATGACAGTTCTTTCAATGTTCTACCGAAATGGTGCTCTTCTACTGGTTTTGACTAAGAGAAATACGTTCTCTCGATTTTCATGCGAATTGATCTTTCACTTCAATTCAAGAATACCACTCACACACTTTTTAAGAGAACGGCTGTCCAGTTCGCATTCGCTATTGTAAAGTGTCATGATTGTTTTTGTGTCATTCACGTACCTAGTATGTCTCTTGATGAAGCCAAGCATTTTGAGGGCTTTGCATACTATGGAATCTATATGATTGTTAAAAAATATTGTGGTATCAAAAGTAAAGCCCAGATCAATAACTGTCGAGGATCTATCTAGGTTGACGCTGTAAATAATGTAACAGTTAAGAGTAGGATTGTGAGATCTTGTAAAATGCATGGTTGTGCACTTAGAAATATTTATAGAAAGAGCGTTATTTTTACACCAGGTAGCAAACCTGTTTAGGTCAGACTGTAATGCAGAGTTATTACCAGAGTTTCTACTAAAAAACTTAAAATCATCCGCGAAAAGAAGGCATTGGCTATTAAGAAAGCAGGACGTAACATCATTAAAGAATAAGGAAAACAATAGGGAACCTATATGTGAACCTTGAGGAACGCCGAATAGGACTGCAACGTCACATGATACGGAATTATGCACTATGACACGTTGACACCGATTACTCAAATAAGATTTAATCCAGTAAAAATAAGAACTATCTCTGGTTCTTATTGGTCCTGGAGTTTACATCCATTTATTTTTACATTCCAAATTTCATTTGTTTAAGTATAACCGTTCAAAATATACAGGGGGGAGGAGACTTTTAGCTATCACTGTAGATCAAAGAATATTAAATCCGTATGTAGTCAGTCATACAATTCCAAACAATATATTTTTTTTAATTTGCAGATTTTCCTTCTCCCAAATCAAGATCGACTCATATTGATGGACATTTTGAAAAACGCTACGTAGTTTGTCAGTTTTGTGGAAACTTAATGACAAAAATTGATTTTTTTCATCATTATTTGATTCATGTAGTGAAAAATAGAACTAAAATTCATTTTGACAACAAATCTAAGAAATACAACTTTTCTTCCAACAAGTCGAAACAAAAAATAATTAATAACGTACAAAAACCTTTAATTCACAGTAGTGAACAAATATTTAAGTGTGACATTTGTTCTAAAATATTTAAACGCAAATCTAACTTACAAAGACATTTAATAATTCACAGTAATAAAAAACCATTCATGTGTGACATTTGTTCCAAAGAATTCACTCAAAAATCTCACTTAAACCAACATTTAGTAATTCATAGCTGTAAAAAACCATTTAAGTGCGACATTTGTTCTAAAGAATTTAATGATAAAGGTAACTTGCAGAAACATTTATTAATTCACAGTCATGAAAAACAATTTAAGTGTGACATTTGTTCCAAAGGATTTACTCAAAAATATCTCTTACGGAATCATTTAATAATAAGTCATAGTGATAAACCATTCAACTGTGACATATGTTCCAAAGGTTTTAATAATAAGTCTTACTTACAGAAGCATTTAATAATACACAGTCGTAAAAGGCCATTTGAGTGTAACATTTGTTCTAACAAATTTATTCGGAAATCTCATTTAAAGGATCATTTAATAATTCACAGCGGTAAAAAACCATTTAAGTGTGACGTTTGTTCTAAAGGATTTAAACAAAAATCTCACTTACACGGTCATTTAAAAACTCATGCTAAATAATATTCATGTAGGTATAGCATTTGTTCCAAATAATGTACGAGCCCCCGTCTCGTTACAATAAAATTGGCATAGCATTAAAAAGTTTTAGTGGAATAATTAGGTATTGAACTCCCACACATTCTCCCAGAACCATCACGTGGCATTTTCGATCAGAACACTCCACAAGCGCGGTTGCCATCGAGTATCAGCTAACACCGGCCGATATAAGAGAAGCACCTCTTGGCGACGTTGTCAACTACATTAAATCTGTAGGCTGGCTCACGAGCTAGTAGGTGCCTATCTTCTCAGGAGGATGCACAATGAGGCCTAAGTGCCGTGGGATAACCCACCCTCCACACATTACAGAAGCGCGGTTGCCAGATTGAGTTAAATGTCCGAACACTTCATTATCTTTTTATTACATTTGCAAAGATGAAGTTACTTCATTAAGTTGATTACATACTGTTTGATGTATTCTTAACATTTTGATTTATCCTGTTATTTCATTTCGTCTGTGAACTACATTTTTTTAATAAAACGCTATTAATTTAAACTAATTTGTGAAAAATGGATGTCAAGCTAAAAAATCTGCAATTCGTAAAAAGTTCATAACAAAGTTTAAAAATATTTTGTTTCAAACAATACAAACATCAGATTCAAATTTACCGCTCAAATAATGTCTAATTACTTATTTTAGTTACTTTTCCCTGTGTAAATGATTCTTTTAAATTTGATCCTCCTAGTTTCAAAACAGAGTATAGCACTGTAGATAAAAGAAAATAAAATGTGTAGTTAGTCATACAATTCCAAACAATATATTTTTTTAATTTGCAGATTTTCCTTCTTCCAAGTCAAGATCGACTCATATTGATGGACATTTTGAAAAACGCTACGTAGTTTGTCAGTTTTGTGGAAAATTAATGACAAAAATTGAATATTTTCATCATTTTTTAATTCATGTAGTGAAAAATAGAACTAAAATTCAATTTGACGACAAACCTAAGAAATGCAATCTTTCGTCTAACAAGTCGAAGCAAAAGATATTTAATCTAAAATATAACTTACAGAATCCTTTAATAGTTCACAGTTTTGAAAAATTATTTAAGTGTGACATTTGTTTTAAAACGTTTAAACGCAATTCTAACTTACAAAGACATTTATTAATTCACAGTGGTGAAAAACCATTCATGTGTGACATCTGTTCCAAAAAATTCAATAGAAAATCTCACTTAAAGAAACATGTAATAATTCATAGTGGTAAAAAGCCATTTAAGTGTGATATTTGTTTTAAAGGTTTTATAGATAAATTTTCCTTACAAAGACATTTAATAATTCATAGTGATAAAAAACAATTTAAGTGTGACATATGTTCCAAAGAATTTACTCATAAATTTCACTTACAACAACATTCATTAATTCACAGCAGTGAAAAACCATTTAAGTGTAACATTTGTTTTAAAGGATTTAATTATAAATCTACATTACAGAAACATTTATTAATTCACAGCAGCGAAAAACCATTCAAGTGTGATGTTTGTTCTAAAAGATTTAATTATAAATCTACATTACAGAACCATTTAATAATTCACAGTGGACAAAAACCATTCAAGTGTAATATTTGTTCTAAAGAATGTAATGATAAAGGTAACTTGAAGAAACATTTATTAATTCACAGTCATGAAAAACAATTTAAATGTGACATTTGTTCCAAAGAATTTACTCAAAATTATCACTTACGGAATCATTTAATAATAAGTCATAGTGATAAAAAACCATTCAAGTGTGACATATGTTCCAAAGGTTTTAATGGTAAATCTAACTTACAGAAACATTTAATAATACACAGTGGCGAAAAACCATTTAATTGTAAAATTTGTTCTAAAAAATTTAATGATAAATCTTCCTTAAGGAGACATTTAATAATTCACAGTGGTTATAAACCATACGAGTGTAACATTTGTTCCAAAAGATTTACTCAGAAATGTCATTTACATGACCATTTAATAATTCACAGCGGTGAGAAACCATTCAAGTGTGATACTTGTTCTAAAGGATTTAAACAGAAATCTCACTTACAGAGACATTTAAAAACTCATACTAAATAATATTCATGTAAGTATATTATTTGTTCCAAATAATGTACAATAAAATTGTCATACCATTAAAAAGTTGTAGTAGAATAATCAGGTATTGAAAAAAATGTGGTTAAGTAAAAACTTATTCAATGTTGCCAGATTTAATTAAGATCTGTTCGAATTCTTAACACTTTAACCCCTGTGTGTACCAGAAGTCGTTACCATGGACTGTGTGTACAATATATGGCCACAAAATATCATTCATTAAAACCTGGCAGATATTTTATAAATAATTGCCAGAAACTGAGGCTTTTTTTGTTAAATTTATTTTATTTGAATAGTTACAAGCCGTACTATATTATAAAAATGTATAATTTTGCAAAAAACATGTTCAAAACGTCGTGTTAAAAAATGGTACACACGGTTTGTCACAAAAGTCATTGTCTAAAAACTACATGTACCAATATTGGATTTTTTTTACTTATCTGACAATTGTGTGTAGCAAAAAAACAGTCATTGCATAAGAACTTCTCACTACATGCCTGGCATGATGTACTTACTCTTTTGGAATACTTCATTATTATCTTCCATTTCTATCACTGTTTTGTATCACTTAGTGTGTCTTCCTCTCTTGTTTTCTTCAGTAAGCTTATGGTCTTTTTCAGGTGCTCTTGCCTTATTTGTCTGCATTTGACGATTGTGGACTTTTTCAAAAATTTTGTTCACGATTTGTGTTCACATGTGTATATTTTCATAAAAGTACCTAAAGTTTCTTCCATCTATTGACCATGTGCGAAACTGTTCCGCCAGAATTTATCCACAACCTGAACCAACCGTTATAATAAGCATTTAAACTTAATGTAGTTGTTTGTAGATAGAATCAATGCATGTTGCGTGCCCATATAGAGATACACAGTTTGTGGGTAAATACTTATTGTGTACCACAGTTCGTTGGGACAAGCTATAAAAAAGTAGCTTGGTTTGTAGATATTATATGTTTGCCCAGAGGTCAAAGTGTTTATTTATGTATTGCAATATACAACAGATATAATCTAATTGGTACATGGCAAGAGCAAAAGATAGTATATACAAAGATAAAGACAAATTGAATCAAAAGATTTAAAAACATACAAAAACAATGGGAAATATAATTGCGTCTAAAGATTAAAAATAGATTGAAAAAAACATAAATGCAATGGAATACAAATACAAATTTTTCAAATACGAACAAAAATGAAATTTAAAGAAGAGATCTATAATCTTATGTTATTTTTAATAGTTTGCGGTGATTTATGACAAATTATTATAGTTACTTAATAACTTGTCAATAAATGAATTTTGCTGTAATTAGTCCTATGAGTCCTCACATGAAATAAGGTTAAGTGACGTGTTCGTCTTAAAGGAACAGACTAAGGGTGAGATTACAGAACGTCTGCAACTTTGCAGATCTGCAAATATGGCGGCAACTTTGAAAATCTGCAAATATGACTGACTTACACATGCAAGTATCAAGTTTTCGTATTCCAAATTTGGGTTTAGTGTTGTTGGGGGTAATAAACCACAATAAATATTGCGAATTTGCAGATATTTTTTGGAATACTTGCATTTGTAAGTCCGCCATATTTGCAGATCTGCAAAGTTGCAGCAAATCTTCACAAGTCTCTTGGCCATCAAGCAACTTGTTTAGAAAGAAAAGTCCTGCCTCCTGTCGTCTTTGTTCCAAACTTTGAACCCCATACAGTAAATCTTGTTTCGTAAGCAATTCCCTAGGATGGAAAGTGGAGTTTGAAGAGACGTTATTTTAAAAATTTGTTTTGTACATTTTCAAGTCTATTACTGTGTGTGTGGTATAAGCAATTAACAATGTCAAGTGAAAACTACTGGACCTCCATATTAAACTAAATGGTTGTTTGCCCTTGTTCTTATTTCTATGCCGATATGGGTGCCAAAAAAGTTTTATTTTTTTTATTTATAACGTATTTTAATTAATATTTTTATTATTGGAATATTTATTGTAACTGCGTATTAATCATACAATTTGTAAGTGACTTTCTTAATTAAAAGGTGTTTTAGTAGAATTTAATAAGTGTTTAATTTTGATGTCCCCCTTTTACTTCCTTTGGGTACACCTATGTTTAATTCAAACTCAAATATTTCGCCGGTGGCGCTCTTTCATTTATGTAAGTAGTTCTTCCGGCGTTCGCACGAGGGCGTATCGCTTCTTTGGAATAGCACTGAGTGTGAACAGAACTTACTTAAATTTCAATAATTATTTTGCCAATGATATTTAAAAGGCGATAAATTATCACATGGACTTCAGAAAAATTTGAGAAAGTTTATTAGAATTAATAAAATAATACGTCGTATTTCTTTTCTATCATTTATGCGTGATTGAGCACCGAAAACGTCCTAAAGTGTTCTTAAAGGCTAGAAAAGGGAAGGGCTTTTAAAATACAAACTAACTTATTTTTACATAGTTTTTGTAAGTGATTTTGTTTATTTGACTTATCAGATATTTATCAAAATAATAATTGAAAATATCTAAATTAACCTTATTTAAGTACCATCTTTATAGACAAAGTAATATTACGATTGTTATTTTTCTTATTCATTATTATTGCAAAATATTTCATTTTAAAATATCGGGTTTTTGAATTACTCCTGTTTAATCCATTAATATAGAATCCAAGAAAATATTTTTTAGTTCCGATTGTTGCAATTTGTACTAGCAAAACGTTTGAGAGACATAACTATATGTTTTATTCCAAATATATAAACTGCATTGCTTTAATAGTAGAAATAACATTTACTTTTGTATTTGATGACACAAATAAAATTTACCAAAATAAAAACAAGAATCCACTTTTTTATAATTTTAAACCATTCAAGTTGACATTTCTTTTAAAGGATTTAATCATAGATCTAACTTACAAAAACAAGGCTGTACACTCAAGCGATGATAACTTACAGGTCGGTGGTGTGCAGCGTTGGTACGAATTAAGTCAGTAATCTAAATCGTGAATTAATTCAATTAACATTTTGGAAAAATTCACGAAATAATTCAAACTTTTTCTAATATAAACAAATTGCATTGTCAACTTTAAACTGAAATATCTGGTAACCGAAACAAAGTTTCAATAAAAATTTAATGCAATATCTTTGACTTGATAATCACGGGAATTGCCAACAGTTTTAAAAATTAACATCATTTTTTGAAAAATGACAAAGTATCAAAATTATAATTTCATTTGAGAACCATCTTTAAAGATGTTTGTTATTATTGCAAAATATTTAATTTTAAGATGTTGGGTTTATAAATTATGTTTTGAATTGTAATTAATATTTTATATTACACTTAAGTTGTAATAAAATATTCAAAATACAAATTGTTATTAGATATAAATAATAATTTTTGAGATAAAATAAATAATTTTTATTTTAAATTGAAATTAGGATGTTGTGAAAATTAAATAATAAGTAAAATTAGAAATATAATCAAATTATTGTTACAATCAGTACAATCCAGACATTTTTTTATTGCAGATTTTCGTTCTCCAAAGTCAAGATCGACTCATATTGATGGACATTTTAAGAAACACTACGTGGTTTGTCAGTTTTGTGGAAAATTAATGCAAAAAATTGAAATGTTTCTCCATTTTTCTATTCATAGGGTGAAAAATAGAACGAAATATCACATTAACGACAAACCATTGAAATGTTGCCTTTCTGCCAAAGAGATTCAACAAAAAAACATCAACGTTGAATTTGAATATTTGAATGATAAATCTAACTTACAGCCACTTTTAATAATTTACAGTAATAAAAAACAATTCAGTTGTGATGTTTGTACCAAAGGATTTAAGGATAAATCTACCTTGCGAGTCCATTTAAGAAATCACGATAATGAAACACTATTTAAGTGTGACACTTGTTTTAAAGGATTTAGTAATAAACGTAACTTAAAGCAACATTCAGTAATTCATAGTGGTAAAAAACCTTTTACGTGTGGCATTTGTTTCAAAGAATTTACTCGGAAACATTCCTTACAGAAACATTTAATAAATCACAGTGCTGAAAAATCATACAAGTGTGACATTTGTCCTAAATCTTATAATAAAAAATCTCACTTAATAAGACATTTAATAATTCACAGTGGTAAAAAGCCATTCAAGTGTGACATATGTTCCAAAGGTTTTAATGGTAAATCCAATTTACAGAGACATTTAATAATACACAGTGGCGAAAAACCATTCAAGTGTAAAATTTGTTCTAAAGAATTTAATGATAAATCTTCCTTAAGGAAACATTTAATAATTCACAGTGGTTGTAAACCATACGAGTGTAATATTTGTACCAAAAGATTTACTCAGAAATGTCATTTGCATGACCATTTAATAATTCACAGCGGTGAGAAACCATTCAAGTGTGATACTTGTTTTAAAGGATTTAAACAGAAATCTAACTTACAGAGACATTTAAAAACTCATACTAAATAATATTCATGTAAGTATATTTGTTCCAAATAATGTACAATAAAATTGTCATAGCATTAAAAAGTTGTAGTAGAATAATCAGGTATTGAAAAAATGTGGTTAAGTAAAAACTTATAAAAAATTTAAAGGCTAGTTGAGTGTGAACTAGAATTATGAACAAATTTCAAAATTCCTAGGATCACTCTTGTTTCTCAAAGGTGCTCAGTTAATTAAAGTGTTTAATTCAATGTTGCCCAGATTTAATTAAGATTGTTCGAATTCTACTTTAACACTTTAACCCCTGTGTGTACCAGAAGTCGTTACCATGGACTGTGTGTACAATATATGGCCACAAAATATTAAAACCTGGCAGATATTTTATAAATAATTGCCATAAACTAAGGCGTTTTTTTGTTAAATTTATTTTATTTGAATAGTTACAAGCCGTACTATATTATAAAAATGTATAATTTTGCAAAAAACATGTTCAAAACGTCGTGTTAAAAAATGGTACACACGGTTTGTCACAAAAGTCATTGTCTAAAAACTACATGTACCAATATTGGATTTTTTTTACTTATCTGACAATTGTGTGTAGCAAAAAAACAGTCATTGCATAAGAACTTCTCACTACATGCCTGGCATGATGTACTTACTCTCTTGGAATACTTCACTATTATCTTCCATATCTATCACTGTTTTGTAGCACTTAGTGTATCTTCCTCTCTTGTTTTCTTCAGTAAGCTTATGGTCTTTTTCAGGTGCTCTTGCCTTATTTGTCTGCATTTGACGATTGTGGACTTTTTCAAAAATTTTGTTCACGATTTGTGTTCACAACTCACAACTGTATATTTTCATAAAAGTACCTAAAGTTTCTTCTACCTATTGACCATGTGCGAAACTGTTCCGCCAGAATTTATCCACAACCTGAACCAACCGTTATAATAAGCATTTAAACTTAATGTAGTTGTGTTTGTAAATAGAATCAATGCATGTTGCGTGCCCATATAGAGATACACAGTTTGTGGGTAAATACTTATTGTGTACCACAGTTCGTTGGGACAAGCTACAAAAAAGTAGATTGGTTTGTAGATATGATATGTTTGCCCCGAGGTGTTAATTGATTCATATAATTTATTTATTTATTGCAATATACAACAGATATAATCTAATTGGTACATGGCAAGAGCAAAAGATAGTATAGACAAAGATAAAGACAAATTGAATCAAAAGATTTAAAAACATACAAAAACAATGGGAAATATAATTGCCTGTAAAGATTAAAAATAGATTGAAAAAAACATAAATGCAATGGAATACAAATACAAATTTTTCCAATACGAACAACAATGAAATTTAAAGAAGAGATCTATAATCTAATGTTATTTTTAATAGTTTGCGGTGATTTATGAAAAATTATTATAGTTACCTGATAACTTGTCAATAAATGAATTTTGCTGTAATTAGTCCTATTAGTCCTCACATGAAATAAGGTTAAGTGACGTGTTCGTCTTAAAGGAACAGACTAATTCTAGCAAATCTTCACAATTCTCTTGGCCATCAAGCAACTTGTTTAGAAAGAACAGTCCTGCCTCCTGTCGTCTTTGTTCCAAACTTTGAACCCCATACAGTAAATCTTGTTTCGTAAACAATTCCCTAGGATGGAAAGTGGAGTTTGAAGAGACGTTATTTTAAAAATTTGTTTTGTACATTTTCAAGTCTATTACTGTGAGTGTGGTATAAGCAATTAACAATGTCAAGTGAAAACTACTGGACCTCCATATTAAACTAAATGGTTGTTTGCCCTTGTTCTTATTTCTATGCCGATATGGGTGCCAAAAAAGTTTTTTTTTTTTTTTATTTATAACGTATTTTAATTAATATTTTTATTATTGGAATATTTATTGTAACTGCGTATTAATCATACAATTTGTGACTTTCTTAATTAAAAGGTGTTTTAGTAGAATTTAATAAGTGTTTAATTTTGATGTCCCTTTTACTTCCTTTGGGTACACCTATGTTTAATTCAAACTCAAATATTTTGCCGGTGGCGTACTTTCATTTATGTAAGTGGTTCTTCCGGCGTTCGCACGAGGGCGTATCGCTTCTTTGGAATAGCACTGAGTGTGAACAGAACTTATTGGAAACTTTTGTTTCTCTTTTTATTACATTTGCAAAGATGAAGTTGTTTCATTATGTTGATTATCTGATAATATCGCTTGATAATTAGCTTTTTACTGATTTGACATCACCAACCACATCAATTACATATTTTAAATTTCAATAATTATTTTGCCAATGATATTTAAAAGGCGATAAATTATCACATGGACTTCAGAAAAATTTGAGAAAAGTCTATTAGAATTAATATAATAATACGTCGTATTTCTTTTCTATCATTTATGCGTGATTGAGCACCGAAAACGTCCTAAAGGGTTCTTAAAGACTAGAAAAGGGAAGGGCTTTTAAAATACAAACTAACTTATTTTTACATAGCCTTTGTAAGTGATTTTGTTTATTTGACTTATCAGATATTTATCAAAATATTACCTTAAAATATCTAAATTAACCTTATTTAAGTACCATCTTTATAGACAAAGTAATTTTACGATTGTTATTTTTCTTATTCATTATTATTGCAAAATATTTCATTTTAAAATATCGGGTTTTTGGATTACTCCTGTTTAATCCATTAATATACAATCCAAGAAAATATTTTTTAGTTCCGATTGTTGCAATTTGTACTAGCAAAACGTTTGAGAGACATAACTATATGTTTTATTCCAAATATATAAACTGCATTGCTTTAATAGTAGAAATAACATTTACTTTTGTATTTGATGACAAATAAAATTTACCAAAATAAAAACAAGAATCCACTCCTTTTATATAATTTTAAACCATTCAAGTTGACATTTCTTCTGAAGGATTTAATCATAGATCTAACTTACAAAAACAAGGCTGTACACTCAAGCCATGATAACTTACAGTTAGGTGGTGTGCAGCGTTGGTACGAATTAAGTCAGTAATCTAAATCGTGAATTAATTCAATTAACATTTTGGAAAAATTCACGAAATAATTCAAACTTTTTCTAATAGAAACAAATTGCATTGTCAACTTTAAACTGAAATATCTGGTAACCGAAACAAAGTTTCAATAAAAATTTAATGCAATATTTTTCGAAAAATGACAAAGTATCAAAATTATATTTACATTTGAGAACCATCTTTAAAGATGTTTGTTATTATTGCAAAATATTTAATTTTAAGATGTTGGGTTTATAAATTATGTTTTGAATTGTAATTAATATTTTATATTACCCTTAAGTTGTAGTAAAATATTCAAAATACAAATTATTATTAGATATAAATAATTTTTGAGACAAAATAAATAATTGTTTTTATTTTAAATTGAAATTAGGGTGTTGTGAAAATTAAATAATAATAAAATTAGAAATATCAAATTATTGTTACAATCAGTACAATCCAGACATTTTTTTATTGCAGATTTTCCTTCTCCAAAGTCAAGATCGACTCATATTGATGGACATTTTAAGAAACACTACGTAGTTTGTCAGTTTTGTGGAAAACTAATGCAAAAAATCGAAATGTTTCTCCATTTTTCTATTCATAGGATGAAAAATAGAACGAAACATCACAACGACAAACCGTTTCAACAAAAAAACATTACCGTTGATGTCGAATATTTGAATGATAAATCTATCGTACAGCCACTTTTAATAATTCACAGTAATAAAAAACAATTCAATTATGATGTTTGTACCAAAGGATTTAAGGATAAATCTACCTCACGAGTCCATTTAAGAATTCACCATAATGAAACACTATTCAAGTGTGACACTTGTTTTAAAGGATTTAGTAATAAAAGTAACTTAAAGCAACATTCAGTAATTCATAGTGGTAAAAAACCTTTCACGTGCGGCATTTGTTTCAAAGAATTTACTCGGAAACATTCCTTACAGCAACATTTAATAAGTCACAGTGGTGAAAAACCATACAAGTGTGACATTTGTCCTAAATCTTATAATAAAAAATCTCACTTAATAAGACATTTAATAATTCACAGTGGTAAAAAGCCATTCAAGTGTGACATTTGTTCCAAATGTTTTAATGATAAATCTCACTTACGGAAACATTCAATAACTCATAGTAATGAAACACCTTTCGAATGTGACATTTGTTCTAAACGATTTAATGATAAATTTACCTTACAGAGACATTTATTAATTCATAGTGATGAAACACCTTTTAAGTGTGACGTTTGTGCTAAAAGATTTAAACAAAAATCTACATTACATAATCATTTAAAAATTCACAGCTGCGAAAAACCATTCAATTGTGATATTTGTACTAGGGGATTTAAACGAAAATCTCACTTGCAGCAACATTTATTAATTCATACTAAATAAAAAAATGGGATTTGTTTCAAAGAATTTTCTAAGAAATCTCACTCAAGGGAACATTCAAAAATTCACGATGATAAAAACCTTACAGAGCCGTTTAATACACAAAAAAAGGTGTATTATATTCAAGATGAATGGTCTAATTTCAATGTTTTGTTGTGTTTGTATATCCGCAAGTAAAACTATCCTTGATTTGAAATTGTAGTAAACAATAGCTAATAAGCCTTGCTTTAAGATTAAAATCAACTTGCCCTGACTAAAATACCTCTTATTAAATGAAGAGTATCTATTGCTTAATTGCAGTATTATATACATCTTAAATGAAATAGTCTTACACTTTTTTTAAATATACTTTATTTATATTCAATAATATCTTGTTCTTAAATCCAATACAACTAAATTTTTTACAATTATAATATGAACTCTTCCAAGAAATGTTAATATTGGCTTTGACATAAATATATTGATTTTGGTTGAATTATAGGATAGTTTCATTGAAGAAATTAATAATCTTGAAATAAGAACAGCCTATTCTTGCTATTTAATAGGGTTCTCACTGGTACCTATGCACCGAAAAACATTTTTGCTACGACCACTTAGGAAAGTGACACATATCACACTATATAGTCCTATGGAAAGTGCCCTATATCACATGCGTTTGAATAAGAATTTACTTTCCACCCGTGTACGAATATGCTACTTTCCGCATCAGCTGCCACAAAATGTCAAACGCATCATTTCTATTTTGATCTATGTAATGTCCATATTAATACTAAAATCAATATAATTGTTAAATTATTGAAATTGTTGTAAGTTAGATCCTACATATTTATCTTTAACAATTATTATTAAAATAACTAAGTTATGTTTGCTTTTTATACACTGGTTAAACACAACCGATTAGATCATTCAATTGACGCAAGGCCTATTAGCTCAGATGGTAGAGTATCAAACTTTATTAGAAACTGTCTTCCTCCTAGAATAAAGGAAGACATAAATCAATTTACAATCCAAAATAGCAATAATAGGAAGCATGTTTGGCTTCATGAAAACCTTACAATATACAATCGTTGAGACTTGACAAATAAAGCACAATAACATCGACAATCATTACATCTAATGATTACTGAAACACACTGTTCGATACCGAGAAATGGGCGGCGCATCGAGTCGAGAGTGCTGCCATTGGCGGTTCTCTCGATCCAATGACCAGCCGACTTGCTTGAAGGTCGAACAGTGTTACAATCCACCAGAGACTATTACAAACACACGCACTTTTCAAAACCCTGTTTTTCAATAGCTTTTTCAGAGAAAATAGACAAAATTAAAACCAGACACAACACCAATTCAATTCACTTACTGCAACAGCATAATAATTTCAAAATTGCTTAATAATACCGGCTTGGTAAGGAGTAAGCAAGTGACCTTCAAAACAAGAAAAGTCCCAAGCTGCCAAAAAGGCAGAACATCGCCAGGGCCAATCTGACTACCGGATTCCCACTGAAGACTGTGATTCGTGTAAATTATTTCATACTTTATATGCATTACTTTCTTTGTAAAATTTCGTGTTTGAGATGTAAATGTACATATTGTAAATATTTGAATAAATGATTTTAAAAACTTTATCAACTTTGCCATTTGAGACCTGGCGAGCGACCGCGTTCAAATCCTTGCGGGGGCAGAATTTTTTTTGTTTTTTTTTTTATTTTTTTTTTGTTTAGAAAATATGAAAATTGAATAAATACGATTAATGTTGATTATTTTTTTAAATACAATTTAATTATTATAATAACCTGGTTTTACATTTTTTGATGAAATGTGATTTTCCACACTCGTGTGATAGTCGCACTCGCCTCGTGCGACAATATTTCCCACTCTTGTGAAAAATGTCACTCCACACTCGTAATGTAATATACTATTTGAAAATTGTTTTTAGTTAATGTATCAAATTCCTCTGTCCTCTGAGGTCTCACCTATAATTAAAAAAATAATTTTATAACTGCAAAACCTAAATGGAACATAAAAGTTTGTCCTGCTAAGAGGTCGTATCTATAAAATTAATATTTTTAGTAAATGTGGGTAGGTAGATAATTACGTCCTTTTAGACTTTGCAAATAAGTTTTGCATATTTTACTTACCTTTTCTAATAATTATAGTAAACATTTTCTAATGCAAATAGGCCTTTATTATTTTGTGTCATAATGGAATAAAATGTAAGCTTATTAAATTTTCGTAGATACGACCTCTTGTCTTAACAAGGCAGAAGTCGTCTTTCCAAAAAGTCGTCATCCAGCATCATACATTTTTTTTACTTCTATTCTAGTTTGTTTCGTGTTCTTAAGATTATAAATTTACTTACATATAATATAACAAAAGAAGTAAACTAAACATTTAAATATTGGCATCAGGTCGCTGAGGCCCCATCCATCTAACAAATCTTCCATTTCAATTTAATTTATTCATAGACTTATTAATTGAATCACAAAGAATTTCTAACAAAAAGTAGAACGCAACCCTAACGATACGATGCAAACTTGTTAGAAAATGGACAATAGAATGAACACGTGCTAATACCAATTTGCCAGATTTTCTATTCTCTGACTTCCGAATAAAATTACATCTCAACATGTACCAGATATATATCTACCGTACCAGTGCAGTGGTTGCATTTTAAAATAAGTTACAGCTGGCAACACCGTGCAGTAAATGTGTACTCGCTAATCTTTTGTGAAGTACATAAGTCTTTGATCTGAATTGTTTAATTCTTTTTCTGAAATTTAAATGCTTTGAATCGAATCCTTTTATAACATTGAATCAAGTACGCGATAGTCGGTTTTAAGAACGTAGCATACTTACAATAAACGTAAGAGTTTTCTTGAATTAATTAACAATTCTAGACTCAAATGAAATAATTTATTCTCAGATATATTTATATATATATTTATCTGATTTTGTCCACTTTTAAATACTGATAATGTCATATCTAGTTTTGAACATG